TGTTTAGTACCATTATGTTCACACAGATGGGAACGTCAGGTAATCTACCTTTTTAAGTTTTGTTGTTCTATTTTTAGAACACACAAATATTACAATATATTATATAACCCATGCGCAAAACACGTATTTTGAGTGTTTTATAAGTTTATTAAAATATTATGAATCTGAGTTGTTTTGTATCAAGATTGTTATGTTCTTATACAGATATTTTATGCCAATATATTCATAAAATATAATTCCGATTGTTCATTAATATATAATATTATGATTGTCATAACTGTTTTATTATCACTCGTTATTCATTTCATTCATGTATTCGATTCTTTATGTTTTTCTTTTTAGATAGTCTATCTTCTTGTGTTTCAACTTTCGGTAGGTTCATATCAAGTAGGATACACCCGTTCCCATCTGAACACGGAAGTAAAGATGCTTAGAGCCTGTTTAGTACCATTATGTTCACACAGATGGGAACGTCAGGTAATCTACCTTTTTAAGTTTTGTTGTTCTATTTTTAGAACACACAAATATTACAATATATTATATAACCCATGCGCAAAACACGTATTTTGAGTGTTTTATAAGTTTATTAAAATATTATGAATCTGAGTTGTTTTGTATCAAGATTGTTATGTTCTTATACAGATATTTTATGCCAATATATTCATAAAATATAATTCCGATTGTTCATTAATATATAATATTATGATTGTCATAACTGTTTTATTATCACTCGTTATTCATTTCATTCATGTATTCGATTCTTTATGTTTTTCTTTTTAGATAGTCTATCTTCTTGTGTTTCAACTTTCGGTAGGTTCATATCAAGTAGGATACACCCGTTCCCATCTGAACACGGAAGTAAAGATGCTTAGAGCCTGTTTAGTACCATTATGTTCACACAGATGGGAACGTCAGGTAATCTACCTTTTTAAGTTTTGTTGTTCTATTTTTAGAACACACAAATATTACAATATATTATATAACCCATGCGCAAAACACGTATTTTGAGTGTTTTATAAGTTTATTAAAATATTATGAATCTGAGTTGTTTTGTATCAAGATTGTTATGTTCTTATACAGATATTTTATGCCAATATATTCATAAAATATAATTCCGATTGTTCATTAATATATAATATTATGATTGTCATAACTGTTTTATTATCACTCGTTATTCATTTCATTCATGTATTCGATTCTTTATGTTTTTCTTTTTAGATAGTCTATCTTCTTGTGTTTCAACTTTCGGTAGGTTCATATCAAGTAGGATACACCCGTTCCCATCTGAACACGGAAGTAAAGATGCTTAGAGCCTGTTTAGTACCATTATGTTCACACAGATGGGAACGTCAGGTAATCTACCTTTTTAAGTTTTGTTGTTCTATTTTTAGAACACACAAATATTACAATATATTATATAACCCATGCGCAAAACACGTATTTTGAGTGTTTTATAAGTTTATTAAAATATTATGAATCTGAGTTGTTTTGTATCAAGATTGTTATGTTCTTATACAGATATTTTATGCCAATATATTCATAAAATATAATTCCGATTGTTCATTAATATATAATATTATGATTGTCATAACTGTTTTATTATCACTCGTTATTCATTTCATTCATGTATTCGATTCTTTATGTTTTTCTTTTTAGATAGTCTATCTTCTTGTGTTTCAACTTTCGGTAGGTTCATATCAAGTAGGATACACCCGTTCCCATCTGAACACGGAAGTAAAGATGCTTAGAGCCTGTTTAGTACCATTATGTTCACACAGATGGGAACGTCAGGTAATCTACCTTTTTAAGTTTTGTTGTTCTATTTTTAGAACACACAAATATTACAATATATTATATAACCCATGCGCAAAACACGTATTTTGAGTGTTTTATAAGTTTATTAAAATATTATGAATCTGAGTTGTTTTGTATCAAGATTGTTATGTTCTTATACAGATATTTTATGCCAATATATTCATAAAATATAATTCCGATTGTTCATTAATATATAATATTATGATTGTCATAACTGTTTTATTATCACTCGTTATTCATTTCATTCATGTATTCGATTCTTTATGTTTTTCTTTTTAGATAGTCTATCTTCTTGTGTTTCAACTTTCGGTAGGTTCATATCAAGTAGGATACACCCGTTCCCATCTGAACACGGAAGTATTTTTTATTAATTTAAACCTTTGTGAGTTAAAAATCCAAATCAAAACAAACTCGACTCACTTTGTTCGTCTTCGTTTGTTTAACAATTCGTATTTTTAACTCACTGTTTAAATTTTTACAAATTTGATTTGTTTTTTTTATTTATTGTTTTAATAATATTTCTATTTAATATTATTTTATTAAATTCAATTTTATTTATTTGTTTTAATTATAATTGTCGATTTGATTATTATTTTTTTAATTGGCCAATCATTTTGGTGTTCTACAATTGATTATTTTGTTCTTGAATCTGTAACTTTAGTTGAATTACAAACTAATATTTTTATTAAAAATAAATTTCGATATTTTAAAGATTTTTCTTCAAAATTCACTCATTTTAGACAATTCGATGCGTTTTTTTGCTGGATTCACGACAAATACACGCCTTTGACTGTATTTAAATTTTGAAATTTTTCAACTTACACACTTATATCATGATCAGGGTAATTAAAACAGTAACAATTTGTGCACTGCGTGGCATTTTTGTGACGTGGCAAACCAAAAAGACAAAAATAATAATTTCTTTTTTTCTTTCAGATTTACATTTTTTTGCTCAATGGGAAACAATGAGAAACTGAAAATAATCTAACAATTCATTGTTTTAGAGTAAATTATAACGAAAACAATTTTTATTAATGAATACTTGTTGGATAGTCAAGTATGTGACATTGAATGGTGATGACGAAATAATTCATATGGATGACCACTATAATTTATTTTATCTAACAAGACAATTGAGTGTCACATGGTTTAAATTTGGTCAATCGATTCCGAGGTATAATATAATGGCTATGACAAGATGACCACTCTAATTTATGTGGCCCCTAAGTTATTTATTTATTAGATAGTTGGGTGTTATACAGTTGAATTCTTTATACTAATAACAGACATTGAAAAATATAAACAAATAAAAAACATAATTAATAAAAAATTATATTATTACTCGATAAATTTGACATGTTTGGAATCGGATCTACAGCAAAACAGGTAATAAGAAGTATTATTTATATTAAATTATTAACCTTCGCATTTTTTGGAATATAATAAAAAACAATTGACTCGTGTTAAATGTTTTATTTAGTTAATAAAAACTCGACAATTGATTATAGACGGAATAAAGTTCGAAAACAAAAAATAAATAAGGAGATGTATAAAGACTTAAAAAGCGTGATTCGCAACTTTAAGATAACAATATTTACATTTTATTATTAGATAATCCGATTATTGGCATTTAGTTATTATGAATTATAGTCACCCGCTAAAAGCAATAAAAACACGACAAATGGTCTAAAGAAACTATAATTTATTATTTTAAACTATAATTGTAAAAAACAGTGAAAATAACACAAATAACATTAAAAAACAAAAAACAAAAAAATCACATTGAATCAATTTTTGTCAAGCTTTTTAATTGGTTTAAAAGATAACGGCAATCAATTAATACATGACACTTTGGGGTGTTTTGTCAATCCAGTTGACTGTGACAGCTTGTTTAAAAGCAATAATATTAAAAGGAGGTGTTGTAACCACAAATAAAGAATCCACCAATATCATCAACTATTAGTCTGTTTCCGAGTTCAATATTGTGAAAAAATGTTTTTTCTAAAACAAATTACCATCCACATTTTCCTTCTTGACTTCTTCTTGAAAAAGCAAATTTACAAAACCGTCTTTCGCTTTAAAATAAGACATTAAACTTTTAAGCCCACCAAATATCCCCAAATCAAGAACTTGAAGGAAACGAGAAGCAAATTGAGTTAAGCTTGCAAAGGTTATGTTTTTTTGAGCGAGCAACACAATTAATCTAATACATCCAAAGAATTGGTTGAATTGTCGAAAACCATCCCAGTTGCAGGTTTGGTTTTTTGGTATTGTCCAAATAAATGCACATGTACGGCATTATCCATTAAAATTGTTTTTCAGTTCACCTTTAATCTATTTTTGACAATGTATTATAATTTAGTAAAATTTTAGTTTATTTTGAAATACTTTCAATATAAAGAAATTAATGTCAAATTGAAACACAATCTAAAATCATAATTTCAAAAAACTATAATATGGTTGTTTTAGACCATTTGTCGGAAATTTATACCTTTTAGCGGGTGACTATAAAACATAAATTTTAATAACTATAATTTTATATTATTTTTAATAAAAATAAAAAATTTAAAAATTGAATGAAAAAAGTAAAAAACAAAATAATTTTGGTAATTGTTATTCGACAATGCTGAAAAAGATAAATTTTTATATTATCATGTTTATTATTTATTTTTCTTTGCCAAAAAACAGCTCTATTTATATCGGCCAATTCCATCCTGGTTTGGCACACCCTGTTTATCATGTGAAAAGTCAACTGTAATATAAACACACCAAATAAAACTTGTTTATTTTAACATAAATATTGAAAATATTAAGTCCACACTTTAGAAATGCCGTGAGTAAGTGACTCAAAATATCCAATGAAAAAAAAACAAATTAATTTATGCAAACCATTAATTTTTATCAAAATTATTTATTGTATGGTGTTTGTCCACTATTATTTTTTTGAAAATGATTTTTTTTAATAATAAAAACATGGTAATATTATTGTACTTTGTATAGTTTTTGGAATCTCAAAAACACAAAAATAATAGAAAGGATTTTTCTATTCACAGAAAAAACACCAAAAATAGTGGGAAGACATCCCGAATCCACAAAGTATTTCTTTAACAAATCTCGCCAGTCTTTCGTGCACTTATTCTTCCTTTTTCTTAAAATTGTAAAATAAATAAACAAAACTTTATCATTTAAATTTCTCCATCTTTAATTTCCTCCAAATTCATTAATTTCAACATTCTGTTGATTCTCTCAATAAGCCACTTTTTGTTATCAAATGCAATCCAGTCTTTGGGGAACATATCTAAATTGCCAATGTAAGCACCCAACACTGCTCCAACAACTGCTCCATTGGTGTCTGCATCTCCCGCTTCATAGGTCACAGCCATCAACACACTCTCAAATATTTCCTTGTTACTTTTCCCATCATTTTTCAATTTCTGTGCCTCTTTAACCCCCCACATTGCACATCCAACTGGCTTATACGTGTACCCAATCGAATTATTTAAATCAAGTTGTTCCAAACTCTTCGGATTTGTGAATTTCTCAAAATCGGAATAAAACTCCTTGTTACCTTCTATGTACTTTCTACCTCTTTCTCGTGCAAATTCAATCGCTTTTTGACAATCACACTCGCCTCGTAGGAACTCCCCAATTAAATTAACTATTATAGAAACAGAGGCCTGGCACCGTGGGTCATAGTGAGTCACCTTCCCGAAGGTGTTTGCAGTCTCTTCAACCTTTTCGATGTCCCAAAAATAAGGAATAGCAGCCGTTGAAGTCCTCATGACACTTCCATTAGGAGCAGCTCGTCTTCCTCCTTTTTCCCAAATTTCCATTGAATTTTTGAGAGGCGTTCTGTTGAAATTTTTGGACGATAAAATCGCCTTAAAATTTGCTCCAACACCTAAGGCGCCTATATCGCCCACTTCTGAATATCCAAAATTGAACCAATAGAGACATCGCGTTGCAAAGTCTTCTGCTATACAATTTCCATTGTTTGCAACTAAAGAGTCGAGTATTAATAACGACTGATCCGTGTCGTCAGTCCAGTCCGCACATTTCCAGTCCAAATTCATCCACCGAGAACGGTGCTGGTCTATCAAATAATGTGAATAATTGATTCTCTCGTGTTTATAAAACAACTCGGCTTGTTCCTTCGAGAGAAATTCAGTTGAGAGACCAATAGCGTCGCCGACAGCTTGACCGAGAATTATGGAAATGATTTTTGAACGAATGTTTAAGTATTCCTTTGGAAGAGTGAGAGGACTAAATTCCTTTGGTAATGGATTTGGATATTCTGTGAACGGGAGGTGACGATTCAAACATTCCATTTGTGCATATAATAATGCCTGTTGTACGGGAAGACGGACTTTTTCTTGAGGAGGGTCAGCACGGACGTATTGTTCCATTTCTTTGAAGTAAGTTGACATATCCATTGGTGGACTTTTCAATGTTAAAAATTATTCAGTTTCATTTTATTAAATTTATTATAATACTTTTGTAATGTTTTGTTCTATTAAAAATAAAAATATTACGACATAGAAACAAGTGTTTCTCTTAACATTTCAAAAACCCTACCGAATTATTTAATTGACTTGTTTGGGATTTTTTCTTTTTTAGGTAGTGTAATGAAAATATTTTTTTAAACATCTAAAATTGTGGTAAACTATTTAATAAAATTCAGATTTCCCGATTTTAAGACCACTTAATTATTTTTCAATGTAATAGTTAGTATTATACTTAATAAGTTTTTTAATACATTTTATATAAAATATTAATAATAATTATATAGTTTCATAATAATTCATAGATTCGACGTAAATTCAACTAATGAATTTTTAAACACATATTATATTGTACAAATAGCTGAAAAATTAACATTGTACAGACAAAAATAGTTTCTAAAAACTATTTAATGGTTTTTTCAATGCAAAATTTGAAAAAACAGGATAAAAAAACATAAAACTATAATATACTATAAATCAATGGTTTGCTGGTCGTTTTTTCTGTGCTGGAGTATTTTTGGTATATGTAGATAAAACTATTAGAAATGGCACCCAAAACAAGTAAAAAGATAATTAATTAGACATTACACGGGGTCCATTGCAATTTCAAATATAGCGTATGAGAGGAGTACAGATCCGACCAAGTACAGAAGTGTCAAAAACGTTCCATATATCATAAAATGTTTGACTTGATATCCCCCATCTTTCATCACCATTAAATTGGTTTGGTATCCAAAAGGCAAGAAGAAACAGCACGACGCGCATATCATCATAGTGATCATAGAGCTTCTAATTCCAATTTCCTTTCCTCTCGTAGCTCCAGTTGTGTCACTTCCGATATACGTTGACCATACAATAGGGAACATGACTGCAATAGTCGCGTTATTACTCAAGACTTGTGTGAGCACAACTGTTGGGACGGCAAGTCCAAACAGAATTCCAATTTTTCCAATTGGGGAGAGCAGTTTAGTCAACGTCGACGCAATAAGCATTCCCGTGTTTGTGTTCGTCATAGCAGAGGAGAGTCCAAATGAAGCTCCCAATGTACATATGAGTGGTACATTCACTGAGTTATACACTTGTTGCACTGTCATGACTCCCGTGAGCACCAAAAGTGCGACAGAAATGAATGAGAAATTGATGATTTTATAGAAGCCAGCTACATCCAGAGCAATTGGTGTTAACAATAAGGTAATTGCTATCATTGCTTTCCAAAGAGGATAGTGGAATGGCAGTTTCACAGGCAATTCATATGCAATTCTGAATGGGTGTGGGTAGAACTCGGACTTTGTGAAGTTCTTTTCCGTTATAATGATATAACTTGAGTTCGTTGTGACGGGCATAAAATAGAGGGGCTGTTCCTTCACAAGTCCCATATTCTTGTCGTCGTGACTGATCCCAAGGAGTCCAAATTTAGAGTCCTCAAAATACGACGGGAAGTTCCTATTATTAAATTCTGAACTCTCTGTAAAATTGACTTCATACAAAGACAGTTTGTCTGTGGTGATCGATCTGAGTATATTACACGCAGTCGGATCTTCAAATTTGAGGCCTTTGATATTCATCAACTCCACTAACAAAGGGGGCTCGCATACATAAAACAAAGTGTCCCCAACGGCTAATGGAACGGATGGATCTATCATTTTATTTCCTCTTAATATCTGTGGTAATGCGACTCCAGACAATTTCCCCAAATCACTCTTCATGATTTCCTTCCCAATCAGTGGGGAACGGTCGACTATATTCACAGGAACTATAAATGTGTGGAGCGCCTGTTTCACCTCCGTTTTGACGTTCGAAGGGAGTAAAAACTTGTTCACAAATATGATGTAAACGCACCCCAAGACTCCTATTGGAAGTGCCACATATCCAACTTCAAAGAGAGTCATCGAGTACTCTAAATTGACTGTTCCTTGTGCATTCAGTTTCTTCGTCGCATCGTCTAAAAGGCCTTTGGCAACCATATTAGTTGATGTCCCAATTAACGAGCACATTCCACCTAAGACCACTGCTATTTGCATGGGCATCAATAGCTTAGATGCCGGTATTTTCGTAGTCTTAGAGAGTCCCAAAACAATTGAAATGCCCATCGCCACTATTGGCGTGTTATTAAGGAATATAGAGGCTACAAAGAACAGAAAGACAAAGCGAATTGCTGTTGGGAAGATCCACTTTTGTTCTGTGTTTGGCAGAATATAAGAACAGAGAAGCGCTAGTCCACCTGTTCTATTTATAGCATCTGAGATGATACAAACACATAAGACAGTCATTGTCCCGGAATCACTAAATCCAGCAAACGCCTGAGAAGTGGTGATGACTCGGAAATAGAGGAGAATGGCGACGGCAGTCATTATGACTATCCCCGCATGCCAAATTTCAAGCAAAAGGACAAACATCATAATAATAAAGACAAAAATGAAGATCGCAGTTTTCGTCGTGAACTGTTCGGCATTGTTCTTCCGCCAATCGGCTAAGTACATCACAAGAAACATCAATGCTATGACTGTTGTGAAGATGATCGGTAATGCTAATTTACTCAGAGCTAACTTCGAATACTTCTTGAACCACTCACTCTTGTTCAATAAGGGCTTCTGCTCCGATAAACCACTCTGGGACTTACACATTGGAGAATTTCCAAATGACGCAGAAAGCATGGCGGGGTGGACTAAGCGCCCAAAATCAGTGGGGGAGTTCCCTTGAGATCGTTGGTACGTCTCATCCTTTTCTGTGAATTTGAGTTGGTCCAAATTAATTGAAGTCTCGTCTTGTTTTGTTGTTTGAAGGTCGGGAAAGGGTTGAACATCTGACGCTGGGATGTCTGAAATGTCTGATTCATTGTGAGTAACTTGTTTGGGTCGTGATCGAACAGAGTGAGTTGGCGAAGTTTGTTGATCAGAAGGAGACGAGTCCGATTTTTGACTCATTGTTTTGATTATTTTTTAAATTTTTTGGAAGAAGAGAAAAAAATTTCGATTAAGAGTTTTCTAAAAGGAATTCGTGTTTGGTTGTGATATAGTACTACTTATTAACATTTTATTAGAATTCATTAATTACAAATAGTATGAGTTAATTTTGTTTTGTATTAGTAAAAGGAAAAATGGAGAATTGAAAAGAACGAAGGTAATAGAAGAAGGGTTTCAACTTTTTGGATGTTTTATTTTCGAAAAATCCTCTTCATTATTTTCGATCTTTTTACTTCCATTTACATTAAAAAAGTTCATTTTTTTGATTGTTTTTTTTATTAATAGTATATAGTATTTTTATTATAAAATAATTATACAAATATTTAGTATGAAGAGTTCCTCAAATTTTAAGTCAATAGATGTTTTCGAATATTTTTTTAAAAACACATTTTAAGGATTTTTTTATCTTCATAAAAGATTTTTATAAATTCTTAATAAAATATACTAAAAAATATTATTAAAAAAAATAATAAGAATTATTGTAAGTTCATATTTCAAAGAAATAATACTTTCCATCTTGTTCGATGATATAAATAAATATAAATGATTACTAATTTATAGTTTGTATTATTGTATTAAGTGATGTTTGTTTTTATTATGTTATCGATAATGTAATCAAAGTGTCGGTAACGTTTTACCAATTTAAAATTCTTTTTTTTATTTGTCCACATTTTAGACTCTGAATATTAAGTGTCAAATCGATGAAATGATACACTTTTTTTATTACCAATTTATTCTGTAATAAAACAATTTATGAAATTTAAATTAAATACTTCTTTTCTTCTTCTTTTAAATCTTCTTCTTCATATTCCATGTCATCTTCTTCATACTCGTCTTCACTTGTCTTATATAATCCTTTCTTTGTATTTGATGATATACCAAATCCTTTTACTCCTCCTTTACCTCCAACTTTATTTTCATTCTTTTGCTTTTGACAAACAAACACAGACTTTTCATCTCTTTTACTCACAACTCCCACGTCTTTTCCGATAACAACGTTTTGATTCACCTCCACCTCCTTTTTCACTCTTTCAGATTTTTGCACTGTACAATCAAAGTTCTTTTCTCCAAAAGAAATTCCAGTGATTTTGTTGATATATTTTGAGTCTATTTTAATATGAGAATATTTACCAACATTATAATAAATAACACTTTGTTCTTCTAGTCTTGTTGTATTTGAATGAGCAATTTCATTAACTACAATAATATTACCAGTTAACACCAATTCTTTTGTCATTAACACTTTCGACTTCCCATAGCCAAAAACAGTACCTTTAAATACTTTATTGACCCACAAAGTATAATCAAACGTGTATGGCACAATTTGTGTCAATTTGGCATTTGAAAGTACTTTTAATATAACACACTCTTTGCACTTCTCGAGATTCAGTTCTTCAATATTTCCTTCAATTTGTATATCAGAAAACTCTTCAAGTCTTTCAAAAGTGATTTTCGCTTTTAGACTTTTGACAAAAAGTGCACGGCGATAATTCATTATTTCATCTCTGAAGGGACTGCAATGAAATAAGTGTGTTTTGTATTTATGAGGAAGATTAATATGACATTTCGTCTTTGCTAAACACTCAATTTTGATCTCTTCGAGATTTTCAAAGTCTTTTAGATCAAATGTGTCGTTAAGAGAAATTAATTCAAGTTGTGTTAAACAGGAAAAATTATTTGAAAAGTCGTAATACACTCGTTGTGAATTTTTGATGTTTGAAGACATCGCCAAAATGTGTTTTGGCGCTTTAAAAAATAATTCTGATTTTTCTGTCTTGTCTAAAAGTACTTCTCCGTTTATTTTTAGTATCACAATATTTTTATTTAAAAAGATGGTTTTGAGGTCTATTAAACACTTTTTAGTTTCAATTGACAAATTATGAATTTTTGAGTTCGAAGAGAATTTCAAGTGTTTTCCATTCATGACTTGTAATTCTAAACAATCAAAACAAGTCGTAGAAAAGTTAAATTCTTCAACTAAATTTTTGGTTATTTCAAGTCGTAATTTTTTATTTTCATTTTTAGACATTTCAAATAACAATTCGCCAAATTCGAGATTGTCAAGTTGTTCAATTTTTCGAGTAATTTTTTGAATGTTTTCATTTTCTTTTTTAGTTTCAAAATTTAAGGAAATTTCATTTTTTATATCGAAAGAAACAATTTGAAAATTTTGAGTGTCGGGTTTATCAAATCTGACTTCTTGTAACACACCAATACCAACAAAAATATTTTGATGAGTTTGACACCATTTTTCAATTTGTTTTAAAAAATTTTGACTTGCACTTTTCATATACAAAACAACTGTTTGAAGTTTTAATAAGGTTTTGAGTTTTAATAAGTTTTTTAAAAACGTTGATTCAAAGCCCAAATCACAAGTTGAGACTATCACTAATTTGCTGAGATTTGCAAAATCCAATATTTGTAAAATGTCACATGATAATATTTTTAATGACACAATTTTATTAATAAAATTTGATCTTATCAATTTGGGGTTTATTAAAATGTGTGAGCAATCGATACATTCGAATTTTTTCAAATCATCTCCAATTAGATATTTTTGTAATTGAATTATAGAACCACTTAGAGTTTTTATATTAGAACTATACTCGAAAAGGAAAGGAATATATCGTAAGATATGAATTGGATTGTTTTGTAACACAGAAATTGATTTTAGTGTGTGTCTTGATATTTTAATGAACGTTCTTAATGTGGTAACCGAGTCAATATATAAAATAATAGTCGATAAAACAGTGGAATTAATTTTTGTCATTGTGTGTATTTTAAAGTTATTTTTGATTTAGATTTATATAAAGTCAAGACTCAATCCTTTTGAATCTTGACTTATTATAATCGAAATGTTATGTTAATTATTGTTGATGTTCATAAAGTCTTTTTGTTATAATTATTATATTTAAACTAATAAAAAGAATATCTTGACAACGATTTGTTATTCATTTTAATGAATTTTAATATAATTAAAAAGTGCATTTGCCGATACTCAAACCCATATCTCCACCTTAAAAGGGTGGAATTCTGCCCTTAGACCACAAATGCTTACTATAAATCATTATTATTGTTAGTTTTGTTATTTTAAAACATAAAAAAATTTTAATTGTTTAAAATTAAAAACGCCCCCCGGGGGGCTCGAACCCCCGACCTTACGGTTAAAAGCCGCACGCTCTACCGACTGAGCTAGGAAGGCACATACATTTTAAAGACTTTTTTGAATTATAATTTATCAAGTTTAAAAGGTATAAAATTTAAATGACTTATTAAATTATTTTTAAACACATCTTCTTGTAAGATTACAATTTACTTCCTTTTTTACATCTTTGTGTTGTTTTTTTTTGTTTGGATTTGTTTTAAATATTTCAGGAGAAACCGTTAATTCAGAAACAATTTTATAGTTGTTATGTATTGTAGTTTTTTTTTCAAAATGAATTAATCATTTACAATTTAAATATATATTAACTTAATATTTGAATTTACAACTTGTTAAATTTTTATATAAAAACTTACATAATTAATATATTTATATTTAATTTATTATTATATTATTAAGCCAAACGATTAGTGTGTAAATAAACAAACGAACAACATGTTGTCAATACAGAACAAATATCAATTGAGAAATTAACAAAATCAATTATTTTTATATTAAATTTATATTATAATATGTTTTAATAATATTAGAAATAATTGTTGATGTTGATAATTTTCAAAAATATACAGTAATCATTATTTAATTAGTTTTCTTTTATATTAACCTATTAATTTCTTAACCGTGTATTACTCTAAAGTATAACATGGAACAAATATTATTTATCAATACTTCTGCCATTAATAGTATCAACAATTGATTGGTCAAACTAAGGGGGAAATATTAACCAACTTTAACCCTTTCAAGTGCATATTCTATATTTATCTTTATTTATGAAAATTAATTCCATTGTTTTTTGTTTGTTTCAATAATTAAAAAATATTGAACTCAATATAAAATATCGTTTACAATATGGTCAGTTTTATATAATACTAATATCAATAACCGTCAACTAAATGAAACCATATCAAAAATAAGATTAATATACATTTTTTGTTTTTTTAGTTGTAGGTATTAACCATTATTGTGGGTTCATGCAATTAAAAATTATATGTAATAGTTTTAATATACATATACTATATATTTATATTAAAACATATACCATACACTATATATTCATTTCTCCAAAATGATTTTAAATGTTGTCACTTGGAGGAATTAACCATTATCCAAATGTATTTCAGTTGTTTAAATGTCAAAAAGCAACAACTAAAAATATCAAATTAATATAATTAATAATTTTATAATAATAATAATAAATGAATAGAACAATAATTATTGAAATAAATCGAAATTACATCTACCAAATTGACTTCTAAATTGTTATTGAATTCATATTTTAAACCAATATACCTGTTATTTTTATCAGTCTTTACAAAAACCCAAATTCGAATCTTTAAAATTAAATTAAAAAGAAACAAAATAACAAACAAACAAACAATTATTATTTAGGACAAAACACACATTACTATTACAAAAAATAGTAATTTTAATTACTTTTTGTATAATAAAAATATTAATAAAAAACTTAATAAAAAATAGTCCTTTGTTTGAAATTTTTAATTCAAAAAGAAACTCTTCAAGTTCTTTTGGATAGAAAGTGAGTCACGAAACAAATATATTTTGAAACGTCGTTGATATTTAGATTATTTACAAAATATAACGTTATTTAACTGAGTTAAAACTGTAAATAACATAATGTGGCAAGTCTTTCATGAACAAACTATCTCTGTTTATATGACATTGAATATTCAATTCAACCTTTCTCGTAACTTTAATGACTACTTTAAAAAATTCAAAATCCCAAAGGTTTTAAGTTTGCTTTTTAGTATTATTGTAATATCAAAACCGTTATCGTTTGTATTGTTTAATACCAACAGAACTTATTTATTTCAACAACTATATCTTTAATTATAATTAGTATTCAATAGTAATGACACTTATTCATTAAATTTCTAATAATTTTACTTAAAGTTATTATATATAAAAAACTATAATTTATTATTATTAATATCAAATTATAATTATTTACATTTTATTGCATTCAATAACATTAAATTATTGTGGAGTTATTCTTCAAAATTTATTTACAAAAATAAATTTAATTACACATTGAATTTTATTATAAATATAGTATTTTTACTAAAATACTTGTGATGTCTTAAAATAAAACACAATTTAACTAAAATAAATATTTTTTTTTGAAAATATCTTAAAAATCATCTTTTTATTTGGGATTTTTAGATGGCCTCATACCTCTTGAAACTAATTTCTATAGTTTGTTTTATAATAAATTTATTATATTTTAACTTTTCTTTGTGTTTTTTTAATTTGTTTTTTATTTTTAAAATAAGTCATATTTTTTCCAATTTTTGTTTCCAGAAGAGTTCTTGAAACAAAAAGTGATCCATAATTATTTTGAAAAGCAAAAAAAGACGACAGAAAAAAAGCAAACAGAAAAAATGGTGTTTTCTGGGTTTTTATCATTTTGTCTGTCGAACTTGAAAAATACAATGAAATCTTCGTGTTACAATTTTAATTGTTTTTAAAACTATTGAAAAATAATAAAAACATCAATAAATGTAAGATTTTTGGGTGGAACGAGAGGAAAAAAAGGAGTAAAAGATTAAAAAATATAGAAAAATATAGAAAAAAAAGCTTTTTTCAAGTTAGAAAAACACTTGTAAAAATAATTTCAGCGTTTTGAAAAATTGAAAAAAGGAAAAAAGCGGTTTGTCGAATTGTAGTATTTTAAAACCACCAAATTCTAATATTTTTTACCAACGAGATTATTTGGTCGGAATGGCACGCCACAATGTAAACGTTTTTGCTTTAACGTTTAATAATTCTTGTTTAAATCATTTTGCAATCATCTAATTTTTGAGTGACACATTCTATTTGTTCGAAAGAAAAGATTCATAAAGATTGGGATTCACTCGGAAATTCAATGCTCATTTTTTTAATATTGTTGCACCTGTCAGCTCTTGCGCTGAAGTGCACCGTCGAAACAACAAATAAATGCTTATGCGCGTGTAAAGACCCACTTGAAGGAGAAACGGGCGATTCAACTTGTGTTTTTGGCACTGACACCGATTGTGCCGATGGCCACACACTTACTGTTGCCGCGACAAAGGAAACACTCGACTTGACCACTTTCGTTCTTAATAAAACAGTCGAGACAACTCCTGAAGGTGAAACCGAAGCTGTAACATCATATGAAACTTTAACCGAGATCAAACAACTAACTATTACAAAAAGCGGAACCTTAACTTCTATTACTGTGACAAACGGAGACGAAACTACAAAGAAATATTTATTTAAAAATGCTGAATTCACTGGATACGATTTGGTTGATCTCGCTTTGGGCTACACTTCAAATATCAATTTGGGGAATGCAATTGGAAATTTGAGAGACGATTTTTCATACACCGTAACAACAACAAGAACAGGGTTCTTCTTGGTTTCTAAATTCCCTCTAACTAATACAAACTATTTCAACAGGTTGTTCTCATCAAACCCAAAATTATATCGTTATGGAACAACAGAAGACTCTCACATTACTTGTACGTTTGATGGAACCAAATTTGAAGAATATATGTGTGAAAATTTTGCTCATGATGAAATGATTCTCTTATTTAATGGAACATCCTTCACTTCTACGACTCTAACTCAAGGTGCTTGGAGAGATGTAGTTTTTACAAATGAAAACATTAGTGTTGAAGATACAACTTATATTATAACAGCCCAAAAATTGAAAACCAATGGCGTGTTTAATATCAAAGGTTCAATAACAACAGTTGCTAACTTTACAATGAAAAGTGGAATTGCAAATCGCGTGGATTCGAAAACTTTTGCTCCAATAATAATAACCCTTTTAGACACACCAGCACCACAAACAACAGATCCAGTTTTCTTCTATTTAAGTCAAAAAGAAAGGTCAACAACAAGTTGGTCTGGAATTTCACTTTTCTCGTTCAAAGTAAATTCCAACTATTACAGAGTAACAAATTTGGCAAACAATAAATACTGTACTATTAAAGCTGATGGAACTGCTTTTGTTGAACCAGACTGCGTTGTTGGAATTCTTGATGATACAAATGCACTCACTTTGAAATATTTAGGAACTCAAACAACAATTCCAATTGTTAACACCGCTCAAAAAACCTTTTCAACTTTTGGGTTCAATGCGATTACTGATGTTAAAACAATTGATGGATACAATTTTGCAACATTGACACTTAACGTTCGAAAGGTCGATTTGATTAATGTTAAAATACCAACACTGGTTTTTACTCCAACATTTGTATATGGAACTTGTCTGACTTCAATTGTTGGCAGTATTACCATACCAACAGATTCGACAAATATTAACGGTTATATATTGCATGACGGTTCTATCACTGGTTCTCAAACAACAAGAATTGGTACAAAAAATGGCAAAACGTATTACAGAGCCATGAAGACTGGACACCCATATCAAAATTTCTGTCAATTAAACTGTGATGCTGAAGGTACGTGCACATTTGTACAAAGTGATTGTGAGACTTATGCAACTGGAGAATTTGCAATTTTTGTTTTGGGTAACGGTGTCACCAAAATGGACAACATTCCGGGAGATGTTGCAAGAGAATACACAACTTGTAATTTGAAAGCAGCAGGAAAACTTGAAGTTGGAACTTCTGTCCAATTGACGTGTTCAAATGTTGACATGGGAGCAAATCCACTTATAATATCTACTGGTATAATCACAATCAATTCATACACAACTACTTCAACTGCAATATCTGTTTTGTCAAATTTACCAACAACTCTCAGCATTGGAAGTTTGAAATATATTTGGGTACAAAGCGATGCTGCTACAAGTATTACTGATAGATGTGTCCAAGCAACCAATAACTATTACAGATGTGCAAAAGAAATCACTGACTTTGAAATGTTGAACTATTGTACTTATACAGGAACAAATTATGATCTTGTTGACTGTGATCAAGCCGATGCAAATACACAAAAAGTATCTTTTGATTATATCAAATTGAAATTACAATCATCAATATTCACAAACACTTTAAGTCCGAAAGAGGTCATTCTTTCTGGAAGCGGTTGCTCACTTACAACAACTACTTTAACGTTAAAGAA